GACTTTGCCATTGGCAGTGCACTTTTGCAAGTCGACTCTGAGGGTTGAGAACGCGTCATCGCGTTTGTGTCTCGCCAGGTGAAAGCTGCAGAGAAGAGCTATCCAGTTAATGACAAGGAGCTACTTGCGATGAAGTACTGCCCTCGTTAAGTTCAGGGTACACCTGTTGGGCTCAAATCCGTTTGCGATCTTAATTGATCATGCGACATTACGCACAGCGACACAGTCGCCTCATCTCTCGCAGAGAATGGCTCGTTGGCTCTCGTTTTCCGCGGAGTATAACTTCGAGGTGAAGTATAAGCCGGGAAAACAGAATGTTTTGGCTGACGCGTTATCGAGTAGACCTGACGATGAGCTTGCTATCTCACTGTTGTGAGTTTGTCAGTAACGGATCGTATCCGTGTGGCGTATGCACGTGATGAGGCATGTGTTGCCATTCTGCAGGCGCTGGGTAGCGCAGAGTTTAAAAACTCTAAGGTGAAGCTATCACCACGTGATCGTGCGAGATTACACCTTTATGCACTGACCGATGGTCTGTTGTACTATAGTACAGGGTCGGATGACCGGTCTCGTGTTGTGGTACCTCATGATGAGGACCTCAAGTATCAGATACTTTATGAGGCTCATGATACCCACTTGGTGGTCATTTAGGTCGTAAGAAAACCTACAGCTCAGTGAGAATCCATTATTGGTGGTCCAAGTTGTATATGTGGGTTGGTACATATGTACGCACGTGTGAAGCGTGTCAACGGGTGAAGCCATCGCCTAGTATGACTGCATCTTTGGCGAGTTTGCCTGTACCCTCGGGGTTGAGGCAGTCCATTATTATGGACTTTGTGTTTGGCTTACCGCGTGATGCAGCAGGCAATATGAGAATTGTGATCGTTGTTGACCGACTGAGCAAGATGGCTTATGTAGCGGCAGTGCCGGGTCTTAGTGGTGTAAAGGGAACAGATAAGCTGTTTATTAATTGCGTGTTTAGACAACACGAATTGCCTGTGGCAATCGTCTTTGATAGGGACCCCCGATTTACGAGTAAGTTTTTGGACGTCAGGCTTTAAAGTGCTAGGCACTCGGACATGTCCACGGCGGATCATTCACAGACCGATGGTCAAACGAAACGCGTGACGCACATTATTGGTAATATGCTTTGGAGTGAATGTGCTGAAACACCAAAGCAATGGAGCACGATGCTCTCACACATTGAGTTTGCGTTGGATAACGCGGTATATGCCTCGACAGGCTTCATATTATTCTATGTGAATGGTTTGGTCAACCCTCGCGTTCCGCTAACGCTACCCCTTACCATATCAGGGCTTAGTGGGGGAGAGATAGCCGAAGGCTTGGATGATATCAGCCCTGTTGCGATTCGTAAGAAGGTGGAAATGTTTCTGTCAACGCGTTTTGACGTATTACGTCGCGTCATAGACGCTAGGGCCGAAATCCAGGATGTTCAAAAGGAACAAGCAGATGCTAATGGCAGATAGAATTAACACGAGTTCAATGTGAGTGATTTAGTTTTATTAAACGCTAGGAATTTACCTACCCGTGCCGTTTCTGCGGTATACAAAATCAAATTACGTCCACGCTTTATTGGACCTTTCAAGGTCATAGGCAAGAAAGGTTTAGCCTATTCGCTGAAGCTTTCAAAGCAGATGCGAACACACCCTACATTTTATGTGGTCTTACTAAAGCCATATCTTAACCCAGCCTTGGTGGACTTTGAGGGGTTGTCCCCATACCCTCGGCCAAAGGAGGCGGGTAGTACGACACCGGAGATGCATATAGACGCTGGAGCCGTACCAGGATGTCAAGTTGACACCGAAGTTTGGCTTGAGATTGCTCAATTGCCGCTAACCGATCAGAGGTCTCAGAGCGATAATGCTCAAAGGATCGATATTGTCGATCGACACGCTCATCGATCGATGAAGGTGAGAAGTCACCGATCCAAAAGCATCATGCTCCAGGATTATCAGGTGACGCTCGATCTCAGAAATATCATGGGAGGGTTAAGAATCCTAAGACGTATAAGCTCTTTGAGCTTGTCTTTCCTCTGCACGCAGTGCATAAGTAAATAGCTCTGTTACAGTAGCTCTGCTACAATTAAACAATAATATAAAATCACATAATCGATACTTCGTGCTAGCCACTTTATTATTGGCTATCTAGTCTTCCTAACATACATACATACCTACTATGGCCACGTAGTGTGTCTTAGGTGGGTGTGAACCCAATGTACCAAAAGTATAGCCTCACCAAAATAGTGTGGTGGTTGTGTGTATAATACGCACCTTTGTGTAACCCTGTTTTGAGTGCTGGTTACACCTCATACGATTGTTTAGGTGCAATTGGTAGTTGGTAATTTACACATATACGATGTCGATCCTGGGTAACGCCCTCCCGGAAGGCTTAGGCTAGCTGATGCTAGCTCAAGCCTCCGACGGGTGCTTTGCGGCATCCATCAGTCTGGACAGGTTTCCTCTCCCTTTACACACCTCTCTCTTGTCGCTCTTCCCCCCAGCCGCCAGCCAAGCCACCACGATGTACGCCGCCACGCTGGAAGCCCCGAAGTCCCGGCATCTCCGCTTAGATACGTTCGCGTCATTTTTTGTTCAGGGGCAAGCAACGAGGACCCTCCCTGGGCCGCTGTTGACAAGATAAACATCCAAGGGATCAAGCAAGAACCCACGCTGACACGCCGTCGACTGGCCCAGACCTGTACCTCCTTCGCCAATGTGCGCAGGATCGTGCAGTCAGGACGGCCTTCAGCGCGGCGCTTATAGTGCACCGATTAATGGACTCTGGCGAGGGTAGAGAAAAATGTAGAGAAAAGACGAGATAACCTGACGCATGCGGAAGTTGAGCCACTTCGGTGACAAGACGGCTCGCGTAACGCGTTCACATACATACGTACGATGTCGACTTGTTCAAGATTCTACGAGCCTATTTTGATTACCCAACCAACTTCAAAGTCGATTAGAAAAGCGAGATGTTTGGTATCCAAGTCCTTTGTTGTTTCATACCTCATGCTCTATGGATCTTTATCGAGTTCGAAATGTTGATACAAGTTATTTTTTAACAAGACGGGCAAGCTTTAAGGGCTGAAATAGATCAGCATTGCCAAATGTTACGCGGTGTGTCGACGGAAACAGTATGTCTAGCGCTCAATTTACGGTGTGTGTGTGTTTGGCACGGGGACAGCAAGATTTGGAATATTGTCAAGGCAGAAAATGCACATGCGTTTTAGCTTACTGTTGGATTTCTAATTGCATGTTCAAGATAATCGTGTCATTATAAGCTTTTCGATTGTGCTGTGAAGACTGGGCCGAGTGGCTGTTGCATCCATCTGCTTGCAGACCAAAACGATAAAATGTCACACCGCGATGCAGTTTAATTACAAAGCTAGCTATGCGGCCATGAAACATCAGCGGCTCAAGTACCTTCCTTAGGCGTAATATACCGACACTACAGAGCAAAACGAACAAAGTTTAGGACGTAGAGTTTTACGCCACCAATCTATATCAATACTAATCCTAACAGCGTCAAGATTTTCTTTCTCTTGGATAGTCATGCTCCCTGTGACAAGCCAGCCAGGTGAGTAAGAATCTCTAGAACTACATATAATTCAGAAAGACAAATATAAGACATAAGAAAGACTTATCAAACTATGGAAGAGAAGGTGGAAAAAAATGGTCTAGCTTAGCTGTTTTTAGAAGTTCATATCTGCCCCTCGCTACCTGAACTAATCGAGCGATTTAACTGGTAAAGGACCGATTCAGCCTACTCAGCAGCTGAAATGTCAGATCTGGAGCCATCTCGATGCGTTCAAATTCGCTTTTCCACGATTTATGTTTGAGGAGACCCAGCAGGAGCTGCAAACGGGTTGATAATGTGCATTACACTGCAGACAAAAACGTGTTAAACAGAGCATGTTTTTAACATATTTTACAAACGGACATGAGGGTACTGCAGACGCACGTGAGACTAGGATCCTGCTTAAGCGCAATATAAACGACAAGAGGCACAAATCCCCAATGCACAATGGATTTAATGGTCTTAAGCAGCTTCGTAGGTGCCGACTTCCACAACTTGTTTCCTGTCATTGATCCGCGCAAAAAATATTGTATGCTTAACGTCTTGTGCCAGTGAATTACGCTATGTTGATTGGTTGAAAATGGGATTTTAAAGTTTATTAGATGAAAGCTAAAGAGCAGAAGAATGAATCTACTGAGCCGCAATCGAAGCGAGATTAGATGAAGCAGATCCTAGTGTTGAGCAGACTGAGGCAATCACATTTTGCATTAGCGATACCGTAATTATGAGTCACGGTAACCGTTTGCTGATTTTTTTCCACGATGGACCATGTACAGTTTAAAGGCACCAGGCTGAAATTTATGTTTCAAGTGATTTTAACTTGTAGATGAGGCCTTAGTTAGACCTAGTGCAAGCTTTATTCTTTATAAATGGAAAGTCTGGCGTATAATAAATCATAGCGAAGTACAACAATCATGAGCAATACATGCAATAAACCTGAATTGAGAATTCATGCATTAATGATACTTTGCATCCGCGTGAATAAATAGTAAAGTACCTAAGGCTTAGAATATTAGCCTCTTCATTACAACTCGACATAATTTAAGCTTTTACGATAGGTAACATTGTAAATCGATTGAAAGCGTCGTCTTTACACGATAATGGACTAATGTGATGTTGTCATTGTAAAAAGGCTCCAGACAATTTAGTTTGAAGTGCTTAATGAACACGAGAAAAATTAACACGCTGCACTGAAAAAGAAAAACACGGACTACTAGAGAATTCCCAGAACAATTTCGTCAAAGTAATACAATTATCGATCCGATATCGGTAAGCAAGTCGATATGTATAGCTGCGATGACTATTGTCTCGTGTATTCATTGAGTTGGAGATGGGCTTGCACGCCATACCAAGGAGTTCGATGTTGCTTTTAGTTATATAGCCTTCGCTCACGTACGCTGCATCAGGGGCATTTTATTTGGCGTTAGCTACACGCGCCGTGAAGCACATTAGATAATCCCACGATGTGCATAACTGATTTTAACAGGATCAAACCTAGACAAATGATACGCTGCTGCGCTGACAGCCGATCTTTTGTTAAGGAAACAAAGATCGGTTGTATCACGCTTCTGTATGAATTATGCCGCAGCATACAATATCTATGTCAGTCAGCAACAATTGAGAAAACTTTGAACTTGTTTTACACGGTGTATGCGCCTTGGCTCGATGACACTTCCTTGCGTGATATTTGCAGTACATTTTTTGCTTCATCCGAGTGGTCTTGCTTATGGCTACTAGCTTCATTTGTGGCACAGCTGGAACGCATACCATCCCTTTACAACGAGTTGGTGCTAGACCTGCGTAAAAACCTAAATTGGAACGCTTTTTATGAGATTACTACTACCAGGAACACAAGCCGCATATCAACACGTGAGAGAGTGCAACACTAATTGAAATTGCAAACCTAGCCGGCAAAACACCTTGTTGGCTTGATTCTAACAGCCTAAGGGGTAAACAATAAGTTATACCCAGCTGCAAGCAACACCCGGTAGATACATATTCAACCAAAAGCCAACACGAGGACACCACTATCACGAAACTCGCAAAAGTAAGAACCGCTTCTGACGCGTCTTGCTTAATCGGGCAGATCCACGAAAGTAGCGTAATTACCAGGTGTGCTTTGCGGCAATAAGCAGGACGTCAAGCGTGTTCACTTACCGTTTTGATGTGACGGGATGCTGGACGGTCATCTGATGCATCGGTGGCAGATTGCACTGCTTCGTTTTGCAGTGGCGTCAGCGTTAAGGTTGCTTGCGGTATATACATGAGTGAATTTGCACTGATCATAACATGGCTGCTAACAGAATCGCTTTCTGAGCTAAATGACATGGTAAATTATACCCAACTCTTGCCAAATACAGCAAATCATGCTATGCCGAGTTTGATATCCTCAAAGCGTGCTTAGAACTTAAGCAGCGCATGCTCCTCAAAACTCTTCTCGAGCCAGATACGCGACTGGCCTAAGATGAAAACGGCACCGACCAGGCGGCATCCTCTTGGAAAAATGCCACGATAAAACCGTGGCAAGCCTCCTTTTTGGTAGATGCTCGTGGCACTGGCAAGAGTGCTGGGTGCATACCCCGTAGTCAACGCCAAGGCCTCTCCTTGCATGACGGTCTTAACTGTGTCCACGGGCTGAGTAGCCACCACAGCAAGAAGACCAGCAGCAATGCAACCGACAAGCGATGCCAACGCCTTCTGTGACTTGGTAGCAGTGTCCACATGCCCAAAGGTGGCGGGACTTAGTATGTGCATCTCACGCGTCAATACTGGACCCAGCGCCAAATACCCAGCACACCACATGGCGTCTCGCGTAGCTGTCGCTGTAAAGCCTCTCATTAGTCGCGTTACGCCATGTGCTCGAACAACATCTTTTACGGTAGAGCTGAAGCTCTTCCCATTGTTCTGCTGAAGCGTCATGACAAGTTCCGCTGGTGCACTAACCGCCGCTGATGAGATGCCCGACAAGATACCACATAACACTTTAATTTGGTCCGAGGGAGTTGTTCCTGATGTCGCGAAATCCCGCAGCAACTGGCCATTTACTGCAAACTGAAGGGCACTTACGGGCGCTATGGAGGCCAGCGAGACGCCCACTCCTCGGTAGAGCTGCGGTGGGGACCACTGGATGGGACGGCCCTGCTGCACCGCATTTTTCATGGCCACAGTCGGCTGCTGCAAGATCACTTCAATCATACCAGCAATAGAGCCCACAGCGCCATTTTGAAGTCCAGACAATCGCTCCGCTCGCTCCGACATTGTCGATTACAGGATGAGGTTGATAGAGCTTCGAACCGATTGGCGACTGGCATGGATATGCAATCGAGGACGTCCTATTGGCTAGTATGTCTTTTTGAACTTTGCAGACGACTGAGAAATCAGCAATAGCTTGAGCATTGGTGGTCAAATGACATTCAGCAATTTCATTTCGTAGAGCCACAGAGCCAAAATGCAAGCCTTTGTCGTCTCCACTGGATGAATATATTACCACTTATATTCAGCTTTTGTACTCGACCATGGTCAAGCTGAAAAATGGCGACGAACGCGTTGAGCTGGAAGCGGAACACCTTCTTTTACCGTATACAGGCGATTGCTAGCATTATGCAGTGGAGGCCAGGATTTCCTGTAGAAAGGCTTGTCTTAGATGCATCTGTAATGAGCAGTTTATGGTTTTATATACCGATGTCAACGCATCAGAAACATCAACATGTGTGATTCTAGACCTTCGACGTTCAAAGATAAAGCCAGTACGAAAACACCAGAGCGACTTTGTTCAGACAGTGAGAAGCTTGTTGCAAAAAGCATGTTTATATAGTACATGCGGAAACGGCAAGACGTCCTTTTCCAAACAGTCGTAAAAAGAGCTTGAGTTTTGTATGCCCTCGACCGTTACGTGTCCTCTTAAAAAGCTGCCACCCAAATCCACAGACAACGACACAGACAGATCACTACTCTCATCACTTTGCCACCTTCTCATTAGCATGACAACCACAAAGAAGATAACACAAAGACTGACTTGTGAGTCATTCAAACAATGGATTCAAGGTCTCGATGCCTTTCTATTCGACTGTGACGGAGGTATCAAATAGGAAGCAACAAGTCGATCAAAATACTCGACTTGCCAAGAAGTAAAAGGCGACGCGAAATAACTCACGAGTATTATTTTCATGAGTTGAACCCTCGGTAATGAGGATGTGAGTGAACTGTCCGCACCTTATCTCCGTCGCTAAAAAAGCTGCGCAATTGAGCTAACACTTCCAATCTTCCTTGATTCAATCCAAGGTGAACGAATACACATGAATCGATCAATCGACGCTAGAGGCTAGACAGTTAGTTCACTATTGTTCTCCACTTTCGTATCATTCCAAGCAAGTTCAGTATGTTGCTGGAAATGTTAAGGCAAAAAAGTAAGAATGAACACATACACTGCGCTTTAAAATGTTTTACTTATCGTAGGGTGGCTTTACATGCTGCTGTCGCTTTTCGAGTATCGCGCATTGGGACCTGACCTTTTTGCCTTTGCAGTAGCGTCTAGACTGATATATACGTTTGCCGAAAAGCACAATGTGTAAGTGCTACCCCCCCCAATGAACAGTAAGCCTTCATTCGCTTATGCAAGGCAAGGCGGTATGATAGCACAAGAGATCATTGTATTTCTGTGTCAGCTTGACAGTCGGTTTAGCTGCATCCATGTTTAACGCGTCTATTGTAGCAAGTGGCATCTATATGAAGCGTAGCTATATTGTAACTTGAGACTAAACATAAAATTATACACTAGTCGTATATGAGTACCACACGCCTGCGTAAAACGGAAAGGATACGAATACGCAACGCCATTTTCAACAGCTAATTAACATGAAGTGTGCGCTGAATTCTTGCCGCAGTACATACATCTACATGGTGATGGGAGATGTCTTGCGCCTCTCTCCATGCAAAAAAAGTTAAAAAACTGTTGACGTTTGACGATTTGTTTCATTAAATTATGTTCAGCACCATAGTAAACAGCATGCATTCAAATGTATCATTTATCTAAAAAAACGTAAAGGAATGTGCTAGGATACAAAAACGGTTGACATAAAATCGCGATGACCTGTCGCATTGTAACAAAAGATGTTAACACTAGAAAGAGGCAGACATTCTATTGTATGCTGTTAAGGTTTGAAAGATGGCTGGTAAATCTTAAGCCTGGTTAGCAACGCCGGTTCTTCAGTCAAGTCCGGTGGTTGCACGGGGCGAGTCGCCTACGGTGACGGCTCTCGAGATTGCCGCGCGATGATGCGCTGACATAGTAGCAGACGTACCGTCAATGGACGTTTCTACACGCCGGCTTTCGCGCTTGCCTATTGCGCGGAGTTGCCGCATGCTGGTTTCCCAGAAAATCTAAATACTGCCTCCAATGATCAGGTTCTGCTATTGGAACGTTGCCTGGTTTCGTTGGATCGATAAGCGAGCAGTGCAGATGCTGCTCAGGATTACCCATAGGCGCCGCCACACGTCGGCGTACGCGCCCGCCTCGTCGGGGTAAGCATAATTGAGCTGTTTGCGTACTACCGTGGAAAGCTCGGGTGCTCGTCGGCTTGCACTATTGGCTAGAAAAGCCGTGAAGACGTCCCAGCTCCCAGCGTTCCTGAGTCCAGTGACAGATGAGCTTCTGCCAGCATGCTTGCGCACATGGATACGTCCAAAAGATATGTCTTAGCTTCTTATTTATGCCACTGCAGCATTGTAACTTACGACAACTGGTGTCGCTAGCCCTGTCAGCATGGTAGAGATTCAATTGTTGTACGGCCATTCGGTACACGACCCAGACTTGGTAATCCGTGAGCACGCGGCAGTGGTCCCATACTGCTCGTGGTGTCTGCTGTAAAGCGGCAAGCTGCCATGCACTCCCTTGCGCCGCGACTTGGAGCCGTTGCAAAGTAGGCCGTAGTGAATATTTGGAACCTTTGCACTGCCGAAACGTTTGTTTCTTCAGTGCCAATAGCACGTGTCTGTTTGCAACGGACCATGGTACAGGGAAACCCACGAAGGAGCGGATGCGCGTAGAAGACGATGCCTTCGGCGTGCTGGGCCCTCCGTAGCTTCTGGCAGTCGCCTACCGTGAACCTATCCTCGATGTTGATTTCGGCAATTTGCCAATGGATCCCAGTGCTCTGTTGCTCCAGTTCTATCACACCCCGCTGACCTTGGTCGGAGGCTGCCTGAACACCTTGGATGTGTCCCGTCGTGGCATACACCCACACATACGCATGAGTGAGACGCGTGGGGTGACGTGGTCTGAGCTCCTGTCGGACTTGGAGCAGCTCCCCGATGTCAAATCTCGGACACTGAGCAAAATCGCGATGCCCCAGCGTCGCAGCTTGGCTTATTGATGCTTCAACTCTCCCACCGGAAAACATGTCAATGCTAGTAGTACAGAAAGATTACATTGAATAAGGTTTGAAAACGCAGCGTTCCTGCACGCTTCAATTGCGATTCTAGAAAAACCCGCGAGGGTCCGAAATGTTGTCATCAGACCGAGTTTTTTGTCATGGAGTATAATTATGTTTGGTGTCGGTGCACATTTCCGTCACGCAAAAGCGACTGTTGTCCTTCTTCCTTGATAACTGTCAGGGTTTTGTACGCGCGTTCCAACTTCGCCGAACAGCAAATGCTACGGACACCCCTTTCATTTTTTCGATTTTTTTTGACTCATTGATCTGGAGCTCTCAGTATTATCACTGCATATTTATTAGCAGTGCCCGCTACGCACACCTGAAAGACCGTGATGCTCTCAAACCACATTAGTACAGCACTTGAAAACGAAACCTATGACAGTAGCGCAATTAGAATCAAGCTAGATAGAAATTGTGTCATTATTATGTAGCAGAATCACCGTCATGTGTTATTGTGAGTGTATGCCTCGTGCCGTTTAAAATTGCTTAATGACACGAGGCATACACTCACAATACGAAAGAGTAATTGTAGCCACGGGAGGTCTGCTTTCAGCGACTACAAAGTACGTGTTGAGCGAGGTTCGACCGACGAAGATCCTGTGCACTCCAGCTTTGCCGACAGCTAGGCAAGTCTCTTTCCCAACAGCGGCGTCCGAGACAAAGCAGCAGTGGTCGGTCCTCCTGCTTTAGATCACGTGACATCCTAGATGAACAGCAGCGAAAAGCTAACGCTGATTGTGTCGTATTATAGTAGAAAAGTCTAAAAGCAAGGGCACTTGTAATGGCGCTACACCAGCAGCTGAAGTTTTCACAGACAGAAGTCACACACAGCGCTTTGTTTCATCCTCCATTTTGAGCATGATTCGCCACTGTCATCAGTATGGATTTTGGTCAAGACAAAGCTGCAGAGTGACGTGGTGTGCCCTTTTGATCGCTTGCTCGAGGTGCAGACAAAGCTTGCCGTTTTGCACACGTCACAGACTGAATAAAGGAGACACGCAACCTGTGACGGATGTGTTAGTCAGCATCTAACGTGGGCAAGGTTGTCCAACATAACTATTTTCACCAAGAACGGGTCGACGCCACGCAAGATTGCCGAGAGCGACAACTTCAATACATTTTTTGCATCCTGACACCTACCCCAATATGCAGTGTCAACAGGATTGGCAGAGATCTTGCTTTCTAGTGTTTCTTTTGCCACTGTGTCTGCTGGGATATATGTCAATTAATAACAAAGCATGTATATGTAACCCCACCGCTAGAATTACCTCTGACAGCAAGAGAAGCAGCATCAAGCACAACATCCATATTCTTGTAGCCACTTTCGTCACTTGGAGTGGGATCTGGAGCTGGGTAAAAGACATAAGACAGAAATGAGGGCAGAAGATGATATCATGCACTCAAAACGTCAACCCTACACGCACAGCACCCACCGATTGGCAGCTTCGTTTTCACTCGTGGTTGTGAGTCTGGTCTATTTGGAATAAGCAACAAGACTAGTCACGAAACGCTCAACTTGACCTTTGGCGTTAGTCTTCGTCTTGAAAAAAACCACTTGCTGTGCAACGCATTGCTGTCTTGAGGTCGCTTGATGACACCGAATTTTTCAAGCCCGCGTCAAGGCGTCAATTTCTTATCCATTGTCTTATTCTATCTCAGTGATTTAAAGATCTTTACCACTTCAACGTATAATTCTTTGATTATTTTATTAACAATACAATTAATTTGATTACGCTAGGCAATAAGGTGCACCGCGTCCTGAGCTATCTCCTTCTGCTCTTCAGCATTCACCGATGATCTTGTTGTCGAACGTGTCTTGTGCCT